AATGATTCTTTGCTCTGCAATGACATTCTTAATAAATGTGAGGAAAATACTTCAGAAGAATTCAATCCTGATGACGTCGTATCAAATGTTATTTGTCCTCATAATGTACTTGTTTCTTATGGGAAACCTGTTCAATGCGAAACACAAGTACTAAATGAGTTCGATTTTGAATACGATTCATATGATTTCACATCAATTGTTGTTTATCCTTATCATAAATTCACTTCCTATGTATACTCTAGTCAATGTGAGAAAGATGTTTTAAATAAAACCACATTATTCATAACTTGGGGATATGAAGATCCGACATTATTTCGTGGGGGAGGATAGTCTGAATGTCTATGGTTCAAATTCTAGGTAGCAGTACTTTCAGTACTCAACGGACATAATGATTGTACACAATCCCAGAAATCAAGTGAGTCTGTTCCGATTTCGGTTGTTAATTCTAATACTAATGAGTGCATTCTAGATAATACGGAGTCTTTATCCAATACATTGTCGGACAGACACAGCATGAACTTGAGGAGAAGACGTACAATTGATTACAGACACTTAGACTCCAATTTAAGCTGTGGCGGATGTGGTGTTTGAATGAACTAATAACTCCTTTGTACTTGTTGAATGTTTGATTTCGAATTCTAAATACAGTACATTCGTTAGTGCTTGTGTAGTACTTCTTGATTCAATTACTTTATCCCTGGGATTCTTAGTTCATACTATAATTCAATTACTTCTAATTATCATAATAACCAAAAGTTCTTTCATTTAATCATTAATATAACATTATTCTTAATACTACATTATTTCACGTTAGGTCTTAATTGGATTAGTTTATGGTTTTATTTCCTCATTCAATAGTTTCCTTTTTTTTTTACGATATGCTTATCTATTCCGTATGTCTTGTGTAACAAAATAGTCGTAATATATTTTTATCCTATTTTTTTTTCTCACTAAATCCTAAATTTATCTTTCATTCTAATACTTATCAATAATTGAATAAATAAATATATGTTCTATTGTTAGATCTTTCAACGTTTATGTTCATGGTTTAGTTCCTTTCAGTTACATTTGATTTTGACTAAATATAAATACCTCTCTTATTGATTACTGTGCTTATGCACAACCCCCAAACACAGGAATCTAACCCAAGACTTTGAATCCTGCTCGTCAATACTTAAGCCCTAGACCATAAAGCCGGTATTCAACGATGTTAATAACAATCAATCCATCATATTACGCGGTTAACTTTCATTGTTTTAGGTAGGCACCTTCCTCATATCTGACATGGTTACCTATACTGGTCAACGTTTCTGGTTAGAACTCAGTAAACTTCCTTTTGAAGTTCATTATCAGTAAGTACATGATAATAGTCATTATGGGGTATGTTAGTTATGTTAGTTATAACTAACCAATCAAATCTTTGCTTAAGCTCCCAAAGCGTCAATCTGGTCTGATATGTCTGTAGACTATCCCTGTTGCTATAACCTGCCAATTGAACAATATTATTATCTTATTATATTACTGTGACTCATGATTTTTATTAATTTCAATAGGATACGTAATACTGGTCGGTATGTTTATGCGTTTCACTTAATGATTACAATTCCTTTAATTATCAGTCATTTAGTCAGTTGAAACGTAAGACCAAGTACATATGTACATCGGTTCAAGTTGTCACACCTCATTAGCACAACAAGAGGATGTTTTGTTCAATGAGTTGAGTTGTTAGATTTTGTAGTTTTAATTTGTCTTTCTAGACAATATCGTCAGCACAAACTTAGAAAAAAAGAGCTTTTATAATTTTTCCATCAGTAACCAACAGTTTATTCTGTCAATAGGGATTTTGACTTAGTATTACGTATAAGCGTATTGTCACAGCCCATATTTATTCTGACTGTTTTGTTCCCGGATCTGAAATCAGACTTTATAGCTCATTATCATTCTTTTGATTAACCAATAGATTAGGTGTTTTTCGATATCCATCTACCATTAAGTGTTAGGTCACTGTATAGTTTCTATATTGTCTCTGTTCACTACTTTATAACGTTTTCTTAGCTGATATTCCTGTCCATAGTTTTCCACATGCATAAATATGGCTAAATATATGTCATGGGTTATTGCAGCTTTTAATGTTCATACAGACAAAGATGAAAAACTAACATTGTGTGATTTAGTGTTCTCTAAATTTTTATGACATGGAGATGGTATTGATCTTGTTTTCAATAGTGTATCATTTGTTTTGGATTATATAGAAATTTCGTGTGCTTGTTAACTACAACCATTGTTAAATACCGTTATTTGACTGTGATATCTAAGACGTCTTGTATAAATAGTGACATCTACAGTCGATTTTATATGTTATGGTGAATACCGTGAATACCAAGTTCATAGAAATCACTACTTCAATGGTAGTAATATATAAAAGAAAGAGTTAGTTCTTAGACGGAAAGGTATTTGGTAATTTTAATCTCACGGTTTAAGGGAAGACAAAGAGTGTATACACCTACGCCATTGTGATCGATTCTAAGCCATTTCATCCAGAGTCTCCAACGATTGGTTACGATAGTCGCGCGGACCCAAACCAAGTAGTCTGCATCTACCAACATGGCTCAGACTAGAAGTTAGTGACTTCAAGCACTGATGCCACGTTTTGGTTTGACAGCCCCTAACTTTCTTCCAACAGTGTTTAACACTAGTCAGCATTGCTTGTCGTGGTAATCGATGTTCAGGCATACGTAACACGTGGCCCAACCATCTCAGTCGATGAAGATTCACAGCCTCATCAACTGATTTACCATCATTCTCTAATACCCTATGTCTAACCACACTATTACTTACCCGGTGATTCCAGGAGATGTGAGCAATATTATTAATTATTGTACTCATCGAATTGTTTTTACGTCTTGAAACAGATAAAGTTTAAAGCCAAGTTGTCCTTGTTCTGACTATAGCCTTCACATAGACTCTGGGGTCTCCAGGATCGTGTTTACAGTTCTAGTACAATGTCTGTAGGATAAATTAAATCTACAGGGTAATGGAGACCGAATGCAGTCTCAGATTGAACATCAACTCTGAGATGCAGACACATCCAGCTGACGAGTTCCAAATAGGACGAAACGCGCGTCCTGGATTCCACTGCTTGTCACTATCCAGCAATGACAAAATAAATAGGTTAGTTTAGTTAAATTAGATAGCTTTAAAAATGATATACTTAAAGTTAGAGATATAACACTTATTTCTATAAGGAAGATTTTAGAATATACTGATACACATATAGTTGATTTAAGAACTGTAGACATGAGAGGTAAATAGGCTTGAGCGTTACAAACATGGACAATTCCAAACAAATTATGGATGCTTTCCCAGTAACGCAAGTAATGACTAATTAGGAAGAGATTAATTTGTTGTGGTTTTTCCCTATATAAACTAGCCACTGTTTGTCACCTTGTATACATAAAAATCATCGAAAAAAATAGCGAGTGACAAGTAAAATTATTACATTATTTTAACATCGAGGTTTCTCTTGACTGGGTATTATAGCAACTCACGTTCAATTGAGTTTGCTCTCATCTAATTCGGTTAAGCCCTTTTATTAACTTATTAAACGGACAAAGTCACCTGCACTATAATAACTTATTCTACTAGCTTTACTATTAACCGCTTAATTGACTCGATGATTCATTAATTTCACTATGTATATATATGTCCATGTTATTCATATTCATGACTCGCTCGCTCGCTCGCTTGCCTGTTTGCCTTTCAGCACAACTATTTCATGCTTGCTTAACGCATCTGTAATTTTGGATATCTGTGTGTGGTCCCTTAATAAACGTAATTAACGCTTCGTATTCGCCTTCTGATTAATATACCGCTGGAGCATTATTTGGTGACGGTTACCGAGACGAACTGTATACGGAGTTTAAGAAATATATCGAACACCGACCACTACAGTATCTTTCATCAGTGGTTACATCCTTTACGGCATAGTTCCAAATATCTACCTAAAAATTGTCGTTTAAAATTTAACTATTGGAATAAATACTACTTCTACGAGCAGCTTCTGACTGTCAATTTATCAAATAATTAATGTTAGTAATCTCTTAATCTCAGTTAAGTAGTAAAGTGAAGTAAAGAAGTTGACCTAGGACTATTTGAATTCATGTTCTCAATATAGATACTAACATTATTTAAATGTCTAATAGAAATTCAAATGAAATCACACCTTATCGTTAGTTTTACTAATCTAACTTGACGAAATAAACAATATAATCTTCAAAGGTAATTGAAAGGTTAAATATGACTTTCATCTATTGTCAGATAAACAAATAGATTAAATATTCAATATATGTATGAACCAGAAAAACAATGAATCAGTTTTTGGTTTCATTAAAGATACACTTGTTGCTTTAATAATATCAATTATCAGCAGTTATATTACCAAAACATTACAGTATTTAATTGCTTAAGATGACCCATTACGTCACTGAATCAAAAATAAAGAGAATCTTCTTTTCGACGAAATCATTTGCTTAAGTTGTACATTTGTATTTATAGTTGTATGGCTAATGGTTGTCTATAGAAGGATAGAAAAGATTGGATTATAAAGTGATTCAAGACTTCAAATACTAAATAAGGTTGCATAATAATTAGGAGAGGGGGCTAAAGTGAAAAACAGAAGAATGAAAATAATTTACGAATTAGAATTATAAAAAGATAATTGTTCATTTGACAGATATGACAGATATCCTTTTATAGACATATATATTTACCATACAACTATAAATATGAATGCACAACTTTTTTTAATATGTTAGGAAAGACATTTTCCAATAGTTGAAATCATGATCACCATGGAAAACCTGGAAGCAGTGGGCGGCCGTTTCGTCCTTCTATGGGGCTCTTCAGCAGTAGGCATCCACGATCCCACCCTCCGCGAGATTCGAACCTCAGGACCTATCAGTCTCACGCGCGAGCGCCTAACCATTAGATCAATGAGCCAGCCGACATCCAACGGTGTTAATATCTAACTTCAACCAATACACAAAATAGCGCCACCGTACACTATTGTCTTCAGTGAGACATTTTTATCAGATTGAAGGTTTTGTGGAGATTCTAATAATTCGATAGTTGAATTAATGAGTCAATTAAAGCTTGACCATCATAGAAAACCATGATGCTCACTAATGATAATATTCAAAAGGTATTTCCTGGAGTTCTAGTAAGAAGTAATGACCAATGGAGTTCAACCATGTCTGTTATGTGTTAATTACTGATTGAAGACAATGGTGAATGGTATCACAATATCGTGAATTGATTGATATTAAACATTAACACCGTTAGATACCGGTTCAGGTTAAACATTCACACATGAAACCAAATGTCCTGGGTTCGAATTCCGCATACAGGATTGTGATTGAGCATAGTTCACCAATCTCATACTAGGTAGGACAAAACACCTACCCAATACTTCCAGCTTTCCAATGGTGATCTAACTTGAATCAACTCATAAAATCAACTATTAAAGACATCCTTTTTTTACTAAAAAAAAAAAAAAAACTGATCCTGTCAGCTAATCAAAATAATCAGGGCAGATATGTTATTCTATTAAATAAGCCTCCCACTCAATCTTATTAAAAAATTTCCCCTATGAGTTGAATTCATTCATAGGATAGATGTAAAAACATGCATATACATCTATAGAGAGAGAGAAGGAAAAAAAAATTCTATTGATTAGTTTTATAGATGATAAGAGACTGTTACTATAAGAATGAAAGAGTGATAAACTTCAATAACAAGAACAACAAAAAAAAACACACACACACACACGCACAAAAGAAAACAACAACTCAAAGATATGACCCATTGTATCGATTAACTCTCTTCATTCTAATATTATTTCTAATACAAAATATTCATACCTTTCATAATAAATAGTTGATTTTGATTGGTTGTATTGATTAAAATTGGGCTGGGTAAATGATAAATGAAATTTTGATTATACAATGAGTTTGAGTGATTTAAAATTATCCAAAAAATTGAATGTAAATTTTTTTTTTTAAATTTTATAATAAACTTAATACATTTACATTAGTGTGTTTTCCCTCAGCAACAACAACAACAACAACAACGATACCACCGACACCACCATCACCACCACCATCGTTAACAACAACAACAACAACAATAATCATCAACATCAAAAAAGTTTTTCAACTCACAAACAATAAATTCATTTATAGTTTTCATTATTGAAATTCATCAACGGAACATACTTTTAATGTATTAATTAGGATAAATAAACAATAAATTAATTCATTGACAATATGCCAGAAGAAACTGTATCACCGTAAGTTTAATTTTGTATTAATTAATTAATTAATTAATTAATTGTATAGAATAATTTTTAATATTCAATATTAGAAATGAGTTTTATTTTGTGTGGATAGTTGTGTTTATTCTATTGTGAAACACAATTCATTAGTACTTATTCATGCATGATCTAATAGATATTACTTATTTTAAAATCTTAATATTCTGATTAACTTGTTCAGAGGTGTTTTTTTGATTGATCACATTATTATTCTTATTGTGCTGTCGTACTATTTAAACTTGGATTAGTTTTAATTTGGTTATTTATAATTCTCTGAAGAAGTGACTTACACTAAGTCACGAAATGTCAGAAAATCTAAATTTTCTACTGATTGGAATATTACAAATATACTTATTTATTTATTTATTTATTTATTTATAACAATCTATTCAATGTTCAATTTATTCGAAATTATCAAATCCAACCTTGGTAATGATACCTACTTATTATCCTGAGTTTGATTTCATATGTAGTAGTTATGTATATATCAAAAGTTGTATCGTTCTCATATATTTGTATTGTATAGAAATATCTTGAAACTTGAATGAAATTCTCATAGAATTGCCTAATTGAAATGATGTTTGTTTTTTCGAAAAAATGCAAGGAAAGTGTTTATTAGGTATAAAGATGGTTTTAACAATTGAAATCATGAGTCAATTGAAGCTAGACCATCATGATTTCAACTACTGAAATAACTAAAATCTCCACAAAACTCCTTCTGATAATACAGATGGTTTGTTTTTGTTGCCTTCCTATCAAGGAACAAAAAATATATAATTTCAGTAAATAAGTATTTACATCCATGCATATGATCTGTAAAAAATGTTTAATAATATTGAAGTTCATCTTAAATAAAGTCGAACGTTTCAATACTTTGAATGTTGTATGTTAATTGGGCTATTTCTTTTTTTTTTGCCATAATCTCTCAGTCAGTTAATCAGTCAGTAACAACGTAGAACCTCGTACGTACGTATATCAGTTCGAGTTGTTATACCACATTAGCACAGAGATACAGTTGTCAATTCAAATCCCATAATGGTAACGGTTAATTCTGTATGTGGTTGTGAATTGATTGTTGTTTGAAAAAAAAAACTGAACCAGGAATAAAGTATGAAATGATTAGACAATCGATATTTTAGTTTATCTAGCTATTTGGATACTTAATATTAACGGAAATCTTGAATTAGTCTTGGGTATCAATTATAAATAATTATTTAATTATTATTATCATGTTATGACTTTATCTACTTTATTTGTATATATTAAACTTGTTATCTTTACATTATCAAGCCTTAGCTATTCCCATCATACTATCTTCTTCCAACAGTTATTCTCAATCATTTCAACTAATTGAATTTGAATAATCGCCACATTATTTTCAATCTGTTTACCTTATTATCATTTGTATTTCACTTTGAAATAATGTTCAGAAATTGAATATTTCAGGTTAAGGTGTGGTTTCTTTTTTTAATACTCCGAATTCTATTTTAAAAACATTATTTCATACTATCGGTAGAAGGTTGTGATTGATTAGATCTTCAACATTCTATCTTGTAGCAACTAGTGTAACTCATTAGTTGTTGTAAATTAGGGGAACCCATTTTTCAAACCCTTAATGATAATCTTGACTCTATATCTGATTTGAAATAATCTAAATCAAATCCAAAGAGAAAATCATTTAAAAGGTAGATTTAATTTTGTCCTTGTGATACTTTTGACCATTTGATCGACGAAATTACGATTTATGGATAAGTCAATCAAATATAAGATAACAGATCATGGAGTTTGGCGCGAAATTTATTTATTCATTTGGTTAAATAGCGTTTTGGCCTTTTAGCTAATATGAGTTCGTGATGAAAACCTTAAATCTTATTCTTAACCCTAACCATCAACTGTAAATCATCATTCTAATTCTTTACAATTGTTTATAATCCTTGTTTAGCCCTAGTTAGTAGGTGAACGTTTTCAAGGTCACCTCAACATCACTCAAAGGTCATCTTCGAATTAGAGTCTCAGAGTAAATAATTACAGAGTAATATTCGATAAAATTTCAATTTATTCTGATAATAATTATCGTTATGAGGTAGCGAGAATACAGGCGAGGACAATCAAAGGTATTTAAATATAACATTACAGAATATCTTGGTAAAATCTAAGAATCATACAGTAAATACTTCATTTGTAGAATATTCATTAACTGTCTCAGACCTTGATGTTCCTTTGTTTTCATATTAAACACCCACTGTTCTCGTCCTCTTCTCTTCGATTTTCTGACCCTTCTGCAGTCAGACATTCCACTTTTCATTGTGTTATATACTACTTGTAACTGTCGATATCAGTAGTACACACCACAGTCTCACCGCTTTTTTTATAAAATTTATATTAGTCAAGATGACATTTTGCTATCAAACATAAATTGACAAGTGTTACAGACATTTTGACCATTTAAACATGTAGCGATTCAAAATCTAATCGGTCAAATAAAACTTATTGCTTCTATCTAACATGATGAATATTACAGGATAATCTGAAAGAGTCAGTGTCGTAAGATATTCTACAGTATGTTTTATAGCTTTAAAACTTGTTTTAATTTACACTTTGTTTTTCACAGATTAATCTCGAGGGAATTCACAGCGTTTTATAATAGGATTTCATTGACATTATAAACCGATCAATATAACATTACCACTGAAATCTTAGAAGTACTGGACGGTGGTTTCGTCCTAATGCGAGAGACTCTTCAGAAGTACGCCAACTAATTGAAAATTAATCAGTAATATAAGTGACAACACGCCAAATCACTGTCTCATATGTAAACTAGGAAAAGTTTCGAATTTCCATAACGTATAAAAATAACATAGTATGTTTTACTAATCAATTAAAAACTGTTTCACCGAAATTTCATTTCAGAATAACACTAAACTTAAGTTAGATTTAAGAACTAGTGAATGATAAGTAATCAATAAGTACTAATAACTACAAATCCTTATTTAGTGATGAATAGAATTGAAAGTCACTCAATGTTTTTTTTAAGATTAAAAAAACAAAATGAAAATTACTAACGATTAGTTAGATATTCAGTTTGGCTTCTACCTATTAAGATGATAATCCGATCAACTTTCTTCAAGCTGTTTGTTATATAAACTGAGAAAATATTTGGGTACTTTTATAAGTATTTGACCTAAAATATAAACCAGAAGTCCTTTAAATCCAATAGAAATTTCATAAATTGTATTTATAATAGATTAATTTCATTTGGATGGCAACTGAGTGTATTTTATGATGGTTCGTTTCAAGACATTAAAGTCCTGGTCTCTATTTTTGATGAGGCTGAAAATGTCCACTGCTGAGGAGTCCCACACTGGGACGAAACAATTGTCATCTTCCGCTGTGATCTTTCTATTACAAATTTAACATATAAATTAAACCATTCACCAAAATACCACTTCAACAAACCTTCGTTTATAAAGTTTGTTACCTAGTGAATTTGGGTCACCGACAAAATACAAAGTCATAGCCTATCATAGATAAAATTTAGTTGTAACCTGAAGAGCCATAATACATCTGGAAAAAAGAAATCACACCACCTAGCTGTATTTGTGGTATCATCGAAATGACTTCTCAGGGATATATTTAAACCTGGTAACGGACGCTTTCGAATCTAGTACTGGCAGTTAGGTCATCTATACATTATCTTAGTAAACGACAAGCAAACAGCTTAAGTTAGAACTTCCTATTAAATACCTTCAATCATCCACCAAACAAGTGTATCGTTAAGTTCGATTCAATCAAATCAAACCGTTTTACACTGAAATGTAGAGAAACCTAGCAGTATGTTTAATGTAAATTGTGAAGAATATTAATTGTTTAATACGTTCTAGTAGAATGGTTCACTCAGTCTTTTAAAAGTAATGTACAAACTATTCTTTCATGTCATATTATACAACTTATGCAATTTAACACTAATAGATACACGACAAAAGTATGGTATGCTGACAGGCCAATCAGAACAGAGATTGTGACTTTTAGGTTTTCTCACAATATTCAAATAGCAGGTATAATGAGGAGTGTAAGTACCTTTACATAATGCTCAGAACGTTTAAAATGACAATAAACAATAGTTTTTGTCACAACAGGATAAAAGTTATTGTTTGAAATATGTTTAGACTTTGTAACGCCATTGTTTTCTTTGCCGAAAATGATCCATTTACAAAGCTGTTTTCCAACTGGCTAAGAATTGTCTAAAATTCAGCTCACCCCTTTTCTATACTCCTGCCAGACACAATGGTTCTTGGAAAAAGCAGTAACCGGGCTCTCAAATTTCTTTTTCTTCTGAAAATAAGTTGACAAAATAAAATTCCAATCTTTGAATAACAAGCGTAGCTTTTAGTTATACATCTGTATTCTACTCAAAATAGTCGTGTTATGGCCTTTGTCAAGGAGATCCAGAGAATTTCTCGAGAAAAGCCAAAAAAGGCTTTGAAAACGCTGAGAAGCGTCTTATCCAATTAGCTTTCAATAGAAGTTTTGCCAGAAACATCTAGAAAGTGAAAAATCGCATGTCGCGTCTTGATTGGGTGATTACCTATAGTGCTAATATGTTTAATAGCGTTCCAGAATTTTCAGAAAGCCAAAGGCCATCTAAAATGCTATAAATACCCTAGATTTTCTGTGTATAAACGAACCTTGAAATAAAGCGTTTCTTTCACATTTCGCGCCTTTTCCCTCATGTTCAAGTCGCTATGTAGATTTAACCTGAGAGTTAATAGAAGAGCCTAGGAACCGGATTCAGCGTTCAATTAGAAGACCTTTTTGATAACACCATTATCCTGAAAACATTTCTTTTTTTTTGTTTGTGTTGGGGTACATTTAACACATTTGAACATTGCATTGCCTTTAAGCAGATGATAGTTGTTTTCATTAGTCCAATGAATTGAGGATAGGTCATAGGTTGAATGTCGACTTGATAGTCTCTT